TTGCCCCTTACCTTAATGTCTCATATAGAGAGAAGTTGGCAACTGCTTCAAAGATACCAAGTTAAAATACAATTTGCAGACAAAATATCAATTCGGCTGAAAAAGTGTGGGTGTGCTGTGGAATTGTTTGTGTCTTTAAATCTTGAATGTCACCGAAAAGATTGGGAACCAGTGAGTCAAAGGATATCTTAGCAGTCGGTTGGGATGGGGATGTATGGGTGGGGGAGTAGGAGAGGTTCTCTGCATCTGAGGCTGGTACCCCTAAAGTTTGGAGTCAGCAACGAATGCTCAGAAATGAAATATTGGGAAATTGAAGAAAAAAGGGTATAAGAGTGCAAACAAAAAGAGTGCAAACAGGGAAGGAGCATGTGAATCATAATTCTCCGTAGCATCGGAAACAGCAAAGTGGGCTGAGAGAGAGGCACTGAATAAATTGGATAAACCAAGAGGAAAGCCTCTTAAATTAAACTGGTAAAGTTGGGATCCTTCACCATAATTCTAAATTAATATAGCTGAGGAGAACAGCAGCATAGCACAACACCAAAGAGGCCATGCAGGAGGAAAGCTACAGCTAGACTTCAAGCAATCAGCATAACATGCAAGTCAAGCACTCAAACCACTTACGTCCCCTCTCTGGTTGGGCCTTCTAGCCACTTGAGCCCTACTGCAGCCACCTCATTCTGTGCATACTGTTAATGGAGCACATCCCAGATTTAGGACATCCCTCCCTTGATGAGAAAGGGCCTAGGGAGCGATGAATTTGGAAAAGCAATGAACACAGCATAAGACTGAATTGACACCATACTGGCAATGCTCTGGGAATAGACACATTTCTAGATAAAAGAGGTAAGAAGTAGTAACATGCTGTTAGTATATTGTTTGATAAGATTGTTGTGTTTTGGGACCATGCCTTCTTTGTAGGTTAAATTAAGGGAATCATATGAACTGCTCTGATCTGTGCATAGCAACGTGACTGATAAAAGATGGAAGAGAAGTCTGGAATTCTTTGCTTGAATGTAAAGTGTTCACAGCTGCAGCAAATGGAAGCAGCAACTGTGCTTATAGCAGTTAGAGTGCTAGTTTCCAAAGAAGATGTTGAGAATGTCAATTTGCAAATAGCAATGCTTTAAATCATCCATTACTTTCAAGAGTGTTGGTGTCGAAACAAATACCAAATCAGCATTCATACCTCAAAACAAGTCTCATATGATTTACATTGGCATGGATACAGGTTTTGAGAAGTGATAAGTTTGCAGAATATTTCTGAACGCTCAGACACAGGCAGTATGCCGGGATTTAGGAGCGAGCAGCTAAAGATGGAAATTTGTCATGGTTCACCATGCAGGAGTGCGGATGGTTCCTTGAACTCAAACTGAAAAGAGCTAATTCCCAAGGATCTGAAATAAGTTTGAGAGGTTCGACCTGGAGTTCGACTCCAGGAATTCCTCACTTTGAAAGGCAGTTTTTGAGTTAAAAGATTTCCAGGCTGGGAAAGGAACAGAGCAGAAGTAAACTCATGGGAGTGAAGAATTATTTCAAAACTTGGTCCAGGAAAACTGAATGACTACTTAAGGGACAGTGTAAGTATGCTTGTGAAGTCAGTTTCTTGGTTGTGTTAAAAACAAAAAGGTAGAAGTTCTTCTCTGTAGTTTAAAAATTTAGTTGCCTGCAAAACTGTTTGTTTTATTCATTTGTGGGACGAGGGCATCACTGACTGGCTAGCATTTATTGCTTGTCCCTAGTTGCCTTTCAGAAGGTGGTGGTAAGTTGCCTTCTTGAACAGCTGCAGTCCATGTGCTGTAGATAGACCCATAAAGCTCTTAGAGGAAATTCCAGGATTTGGACCCAGTGACAGTGAAGGAATGGCGATATATTTCCAAAGTCAGGATGGTGAGTGGCTTGCAGATGGTAGTGTTCTCAAGTATCTGCTGCCTTCTAGATGGAAGTGGTGGGGGTTTGGAAGGTGACTTCTAAGCAGTGTTTATTAAATTGTGTATTCAGTCTGGATGTTACAGGTACAGTCTTACAACATGAAATCCCATCAGATGCCCTTTCAGTTATCAACTGGAAACTCAATTTCCTCTTTTTTAAGGTATTGGTCTCACCAGGAATCATAAAATGTACAGGAATCGCATTGAGTCCCAAGATTTTTGGGTATCCAGTTTATTATATATACAATTACAATTTGAAAATAAGCAAGCCAAAAAACACCTGATGAAAGTCCCTTAGGTATCCCAATTTACAGGTTTTGCTGTATTTGCATTGACAACCTCCCCCGTAACTCCGATGCTCCTCTGTGATAATCATAAAGTTCTGAAAGCTTAATAATGTTGAAGACATATCAAATTCTCCAGAGTTTAAACTTAACAGTATATTTTGTCATTTTAGCTGTAGTGCTGGAGAGACTACCAATGCACTGCACCAGAGGGAAACAGAATGAATCGATTAGCATGCATTTTCTTTCCCCTCTATGTCACCCAGTCAGTGCTAAACAGTGGCCTCTACTCATCTACAGGGAGGAAAACAAAAGGATAAGCATGTTAGTTGACACCTCCAGCAAACTGAGAACTCTTCCGGTGGAAGTTCAAAACCCTGTTATTTTCATTAATTCCAATATTACCAATATGAGTTTATTTTGAAATTGTTCCATTTGGAAAGCAACTGGATCTGTTTGTGGCAATTTCTCTTCATCTTAGACTTGTTCAAATTTAAAGATTCAAAAGTAATATCCAAGATCCAAATTATTTCACAGTTTGATTAGCATAAATAATCAAATAGCTAAGAATATGAACCCAATTGCATCTAAAGACAAACTACACTGTCAAGCTTTCACAACATTATTAAATAAAATAACTGCAATGCAGTTGGATGAGATTTCCTTTGTACAGCCACGAAATAAGCAGAACAAACCACAACTGTGTATGGCTCTCCAATTGTGTTTTACAGTGGCCGTTATTAGAAATCATTATCTCAAGAGTAATTAGGGATGGGCAACAAATGCTGATTGTGTCAGTGACACCCATGCCCCATGAACAAATGAAAATATTACAGAAAAGCAATTATCTAATGGTAAATGGTCAAGATAACCTTTTGTTGGTGATTAAAAGTAATAAATAGTAAATAAATGCTGGTTTGCAACTCGTCACCAGAATTTAGACGAAATTTACGCTTGCTTCAATCCGGACAGATCTCAGCAATTTTTTACAGGATGAAAGAAAAAAAGGTTATTTCTGACAGCAAAAGAATTGGAATTCTTTTTCTCCATCTTATATATCAAGTGGTCAAATGAAACAGTCCTTGTTCTGCTGCCCATTTCTGAGAACAGACATCTTTGTTTAAGCTTTGACTTGGCTTAAATGAACGAATTAATATTGACAAAACATCAACTAAGCTAATGATTGTTAGTTAAGGCAATAAACATGTCACATTAGAGTCAGCGCAGTAAAGAGGTAATTAGCTCTGGAAAAGCACTGCTGATTGGAGCTGTTGAGATCTTTTGCTCTTAACCTTTGAGCCCATTATCTGGCACAGGACATATGCAGCTACACTAATCTGAATTCACAGTTGACAGCTTGGTTACTGGAAGGTAGTGTGTGTTTATTATCAACATTCAGTTAGTATTTGTTTAGACCAAGTATGAATTTTTAGCTAGAGTGCTAATAAAAAAATACATTCAACCATGAATTATATCAAAAGAAGTGGAACATATGATCCTTTTTCACTTCAACATTATTTATTTATAGATAAAACCACGGACTTCAAAACTCTTCCATTAATTGGAAAGATACAGATACAAAATTAGGTTACTATAACAATAACTACGTGTAGAGCCTAAATGACAAAGGATGTTTTTTTTCCAGTAAATAAAAGCATTTCTGAATTTACTCTCTTCAGGTTTTATGCACAGAATTTCAAGCCTTTTCTCACTGGTCCTCGTGTGTTCTGTATTGAGGCTCATTGTCATGCAAATAATATTTTGTGTTTGTTACAATTGTTTCATAATAACAATCCTTCTTAGAAACACAATTTCTCTTTCGATTTGAGATGGTGAAAAACTGCATGAATGAATCACTTAGCCACAAATGATGCAAATATAATTTCTACTTCAATAAGAATGATCCACCACTTATCATTAATTAACCCCTGAATGAATTTAGACTGTAATCACCTCATGGTAAGTAAGCCGCAAGCAATCTTTTTAAGAAATATGGTTTGGTTTTGCATGGAGTATTAGTTAAAGGTTAAGAGCAGTACAAGAAATGAAACAATGGTTGGATAGCATAAACCACAAAGGTACTCTGTTATAAACTTAAGCAGTTTATAAATGTCATCTCAACCCGAAAACGTATACCCGATTGTTTAGAATGTAGAATCCACTAATGGAGTCCATGGGATGATATGATTAATACAATTTTCATCGTGTTTCTACTTTGCCAGCTGTAAGTACCATGCTAAGTCGCAGCTCCAACACACATATCACCTGATGCCAGTTCAAAGTCATGCTGAAATTGCAAGATCATCACATTTTGCTCTGCTGCTGATTTCAATGTCTGTAATATCACCCAACTTCACTCTTGCTTCAGCCAAGCTGTACTGAAATCCTTATCCATGTTGTTAATTCTAGACTCAACTATTCTAATCCTTCCCATCTTTCAGCATCCATAATTTAAGCTCATTCAAAACTCCACTGCCCATATTCTAAACACCCATTTTTTACATATTTTATCCATTATATAAAGGTCAGTGCCATAAATTGGTTCTTAGTTCAACATTAGCTCAAATTAAAAATTTTCATCCCTTGCTCAAATCTCTCCAGGGCTTTACCTTTTCCTAACTTTGTATCCTCTTTCAGTTCCATAATCCTTTGAGAAACCATTTTCCTCAATCTTCAGCTTCTCAGGTACATTCAATTTCCTTTGGCCCAACACTGACAGTGCCTTATGTCAGGATCATAAAGGATACAATTCCCGACCTAAATCTTGAAGCCTCTTTACCCTCCTTTAGGAGGCCTGCTGAGCATTTCCAGAAATTTCTATTTTTGTCATATGAAGTGCATGCTTTGTACTATGTAAAAGATACTTTTCAAATGCAAGTTCTAATTTGCATGTGGCAGCACCTGTGGAGAGAGAACCAGTGTTAATATTTCAAGTCCAGTATGAATCTTCTTCAGAACAGTTCTGTTTCTCTCTGTACAGACGCTGCCAAGTTTCTCCAGCATTCTCTGGTGTTTAGTCCAGTGGAGAGCTGTGACAATGGCGTTTGGCGGCTGGGGTGAAGATTTGCATAGGCGCAGAAATGTTGGAGAATGGAAGATTTAGACAGACAGAAGAATTGACCGAGATCAATATAAGTAGACAAATGTTGCTGGGAAAATTGTTGGGATTGAAGACGGATAAACCCTCAGGGCCTGATAATCTATATCCCAGAGTACTTAAGGAAATGGCTCTAGAAATTGTAGATGCATTGGTGGTCATCTTCCAGGATTCTGTAGACTCTGGAACAGTCCCTGCAGATTGGAGGGTAGGTATAATCATTCCAATATTCAAAAAGAGAGGTAGAGAGAAAACTGGGAATTATAGAGTGGTAAACCTAACATCAGTAGTGGGGAAAATTCTCGAATCCATTATCAAGGACTTTATAATGGAGCATTTGGAAAGCAGAGGCAGGATCAGAGAGTCTGCATGGATTTATGAAGGGAAATCATGCTTGACAAATCTGTTGGAATTCTATGAAGCTGTAACTAGTAGAGTTGACAAGGGAGAGCCAGTCAATGTGGCATATTTGGATTTTCAGAAAGCATTTGACAAAGTCCCGCATAAGAGATTATTGTACAAGATTTAAATGCATGGGCTTGGGGGAAGTGTATTGAGATGGATAGAAAACTGGTTGTCAGAGAGGAAACAAAGAGTAGGAATTAATGGGTCCTTTTCAAATTGGCAGGCAGTAACTAGTGGGTGCCACAGGAATCGGCGCTGGGACCCAGCTATTCACAATATATGTTAATAATTTGAATGAAGGAACAAAATGTAACTTCTCAAAGTTTGCAGATGATATCAAGTTGGGTGGGAGGGTGAACTATTAATGAAGATGCAGAGATTCTTCAGCATGATCTGGACAGGAAGGGTGAGTGGGTAAATCAATAGCATATGCTGTATAATTTGGATAAATATGAGGTTATTCATTTTGGAAGCAAAAAGAAGGTGGCAGATTACTATCTGAATGGCGGTAAAAACCGAAAGAACTGTGGATGCTGTAGATCAGGAGCAAAAACAAAAATTGCTGGAAAAGTTCAGCAGGTCTGGCAGCATCTGTGAAGAAAAGAAATCAGAGTTAACGTTTCGGGTCTGGTGATGTGGTTTCAGTTCTGAGGAAGGGTCACCAGACCCGAAACGTTAATTCTGATTTCTTTTCTTCACTGATGCTGCCAGACCTGCTGAGCTTTTCCAGCAACTTCTGTTTTTGTTCCTGAATGGCGGTAAAATAGGAGGTGGTGGTGTTCAGTGGGACCTGGGTGTCCTTGTGCACCAGTCACTGAAGGTAAGCATGCAGGTGCAGATGGTGGTAAAGAAGGCAAATGGTATGTTAGGCTTCATTGCGAGAGGTTTCAAGTACAGGAGCAGGGTTGTGTTCTTGCAGTTATACAGGGCCTTGGTGAGGCTACACCTAGAATAGTGTGTGCAGTTTTGGTCTCCTTTTCTGAGGAAGTGTGCTCTTGCTCTTGAGGGAGTGCAGTGAAGGTTTACCAGGCTGATTCCAGGGATGGCGGAACTGACGCACGACGAGAGATTCACTGGGTTAGGAATGTTTTCATTGGAGTTCTGATGAAAGAGGGGAGGATCTCTTAGAGACTTATGAAATTGTAACAGGACTTGACAGGGCAGATGCAAGGGAGGATGTTCCCGATAGTGGGTGTGTCCAGAACCAAGGGTCACACAGTCTGAGGATTCAGGACCGACGATTTAGGACGGAGATGAGGAGACATTTCTTCACCCAAAGAGTGGTGAGCCTGTGGAATTCATTACCACAGGAAGTAGTTGATGTCAACACATTGAATGTATTCAAGGGGCAATTAGATATAGCACTTGGGGCAAGTGGGATCAAAGGTTATGGGGTGAAAGCAGGATTAGGCTATTGAGTTGGACATTCATCCATGATCGTGATGAATGCTGGAACAGCTTGAAGGGCTAAATGTCCTCCTCCTGCTCCTATCTTCTATGTTTCTATGTTTCCAGCATTCACAGTACTCTGCTTTTATCCGAGTTAACCTAATATTTTTTGAGGTTGAAGCCTTAAAAATAATTTTAAACTTCTACGTATTGTGTCAATTCACCATTTACAATTGTTAATTTCTGCTTAAGACATTATTTTTGTTGCAGTCAAAAGTGAAACTACTAGAGAAGAAAATATAGCATTTTTACTGCAACATTTACCTTTCTATATATAAAAGCAAAACATATCCTTAGTAGCCAGTTTGACAGAAAAAAAAAATGTACAATTGAAAAAGGTTTATAGTACGAAGTCAGTGAGGTAAAAAAAAACTGTTAAAATAACTACAAATAAACTAAATTTGATCCCAGTTCTCAGACTCATGTCAAATAGACAATAAAAGAATAAAATTAGAGAATAGCATTCTTGTATATACCCAAGATCCTTGAAATGATAGTCTGAACACATCCTTATTTTGAATTATGCTATGTAGTAGTGCCATAGAAAGGCAGCACAAATGAAAATATATTGTGGGAGGAGACTGGTTTTATTATTTTACAATATATACAAGGTACTCAACCTCCTTACAATTCACTGTTGAAAACAACCTGGCAAAATTGAATTTTCTGCACCATAAATTCAACTCCCTTTCAATCCATTCACTCTGCCTTTTCATTGCCCTGGTTTTACTCCACTCTTGTTGTGGCCTGAATGTGCATCCTTCTCCTATAACATGTTAATCAATTATTTCAGTGCTAATGTTTACTTATCTCCTTTACTGCCATCCTGTTTCCCTGCCGTTTTTCCTTTATTTTCCCCACAGTAAACCTTACTTTTGATGTGGTTTCTTGCTGAGTTTCTTTCACATTTTTATTTCCTGCAGAAGATCAACAAATCACCACTCATTTTTCATCCAGCTTAGTAGAACAACTTAGTAAAACAGAGTATGCATGGTGAGCACAATTGTCATTCATATTTGTTGTGATAGATATCTCTATCGATAAAAACAGATCCAAAATCTGAATAACTGCTCCATTAAGTAGCATTAGGCATTATATAAATGTCACAATGTGATTTAACTATTGCCATCCCATCTTAAATAGCAGAAACAAATGTCCATTGTAAAAGTCCAAGTTTTGTTCCTTTGGCTTAGGAGATCAGAACCTTTTAATAACATTAACATCTTACAACAATTTCTAGGTGTGCATCGTTGTCCATATATCCAACTTTACTGCCAAGATAACAGTTTTAGCTACTCTCACCGCCTCTCTGGAATTCTGTTCATTTATCCACGTTTGAACTAAGGATATAATGAGGTCAGGAGCTGAATGGCCTTAGCAGAACCAAAATTGAGTTTTCAATGAGCAGGTCATGGCTAAGCAAAGTGCTTAAGCATAATATCCCTACTCCTGTGCTCAATTCTCCTTGCAATAATCAATAACATTGTCTTGGAAACTTAGTAAGTCTAGCAATATTTTGCTTCAAGTCAAATAAGACTCTTTTTCAGAAAAGTTCTCTCTCTTTTCTCTGTCCGCAGATGATGCCATATATTCATATACTACATATTCATAGATTCATATACTGCAGAAAAGGCCCTTCGGCCCATTGAGTCCACACCGACATAACTACCACTAAGTGTGTGCCAATCTCAATTTCCTGCATGTGTCGTATATCCTTGAACGTTATGATATTTGAAGCGCTCATCCAAATATTTTTAAAAAGTTGTAAGGTTTCTAGCCTCCACTAGCTACCCAGGTAGTGCATTCCGGATTCCCACCACCTGCTGAGTAAAAAAGCTTTTTCCCATATTTCTTCTGAATCTCCTGCCCCTTACCCTAAAACCATGCCCTCTCATGCTAGACATGAGTTTTTCAAGCACTTTTTTTTATTACGAATCTCCAGCATCCATAGTACTTTGCTTTGATTTGTCATTCTACAAACATTAGCTTTCCTAATTACTTTCTGTACTTGCAGGCTAACCTTTTGAGTTTATGCACAAGAACACTCAGTTTCTTCTGCATCTGAGCTCTGCAATCTCTATTGAGATAAAATGCTTCTTGTGCACTCTTCCTTACAATACAGACAATTGTAAAATTTTTTCAAATTGTATTTCATTTGCCAGGCCTTTGCCCAATCATTTAAACCAATGATTTCATTTTTATAATTAGCTTGTGCCCTCTTCACACTGCTTTGTGTCATCAGCAAATGTGACAACCATACTTCCATCCTATCATAAAAGTAATTTTGTGAACTGTAAATATTTGAGATCCCACCACCAAACCTGTGATAAACTGTTCATTATATCTTAACAACCTGGGGAAAAAAAAAATTCTGCCCACTCTCTGCTTCATGTCAGCCAGATGATCATCTATCAATGCTGATATGCCATCCCTATATCCTGAGCTTTTATTTTCTGCAATAACCTTTAATACAGCAACTTATCAAATGCCTTCTAGAAATCGAAGTGCAGGACAACCACTGGTTCTCTTTTATCAACACCATGTGTTACTGCCTCAAAGAATTGTATGTTCTCTCCCCCCCCCCTTTTCTGCCTTACGCAGGGACCATTCCCTCTGGGACACCCTGGTCCATTCTTCCTTCACTCCCAACACACCCCCACAGTCTCATGGCATTTACCCCTGCAATTGCAGAAAATGTAATGCCTCCCCGTTTACTTCTCTCTTCTACCTATCCAAGGCCCCAAACAGACCTTCCAGGTGAAGCAGTACTTTGTCTGCTCTTCCCTCAATCTAGTCTACTGTATTCACTGCTCACAATGTGGTCTCCTCATCACTGGGGAAATGAAGCGCAGACTGGGTGACCACCTTATACAACACCTGCATTCTGTCTGCAAAAAGCTCTTGAACTTCCAGTTACCTGCCACTTCAACACATCACCATGTTCCCTGGC